TCGCTCATGGAAGGAGAGGCTGTCCTGTGAGCTGTGTGAGCACGTTTCTGGGGATGTGGTGTGTTGCCGTGGAGATGACACTTGCCATCCACGTTTGTAATGACTTGAAACAATTCACTTTGCAATTAAAACAAGATCTATCCTGTGATAACCCCGAGGAAATAGTTACTTACTAAACGAAGGTGGGGGTGGGGGAAGTGGATTTCATTGTTGTGCTCTGCTCTGATGGCTCCAGCTTGTTCTGCACTGCCTCGTCCTGCTCGGTTTTCTTTGCAGTGCCCCGTTCTGCATCTGCTCCCTGGCTCAAAAACCTGAACAAGTTTGCATAAAGTTTAAGCTCCATTTTGCCTCGCTCCTGTCATCCAGTGCGGTTGTCCCAAGGACATGTATTCAGAGTGCACCATCAGTCCAGTTTTTGCTAATGCACTCCACAACCAGAGGCTGACCGACTCAATGCCAGTATTTTACCATCCACCACTGCTTTTCCTTCCCAACCTGCAAACCTTTGCCACAAATTTAAGTGTGAAGAAAGCATATGTCCCAGCTTTGTGCTGCTTTCCTTGCTTGCTGGCAGTGAAAATTGTTTGACCAGCCTTCAGGTAGGTCATCTAGTAACCTGAGTGTTAGCTGCAATGTTACTGAACCGGGTTTTCTGTGTTAAACTGATGCTACGCAGGCATCATCCTTGCAGTCCCAGGCAGTGCTGGGCTGGGAACACACCACAGCCTGAGGGATGGTCCTGTTGCCCTGCTGCTGGTAGCAAAGTTATGGACTGTTGGATTTGGAGGGGCTTACATGGAACGCGTCAACGGTGGTATCCGAACACGTTGCAGTTGTGTCTCGAGCAACATGACTAATGTCTCTCACGTAGGCTTTGTTCTCGTCTTTTCCCCAAGGAGAGAAGCAAGTGCAACAAGGTCTTGCTTTTACTGTTCTCTCTCCCAATTCAAACAACAGAGTTTTTGCTGTGCCTCTCTGCAGGGGGAGGCAGCACAAAGCAGTGTGCTGTGCTTTCTTGAGGGGAATGAGGAAATTTGGGGGGTGCCTTGAACAGAGAGGAGCTCATTTCTTAGCACAGGCAAACAGGTCAAGAGGGTTGTTGGGCACTGCTTTATGCTGGAGGGGCACAGCCCTTCCCGCACGCTTCCTCTGTTGAGGTCCTTGCAAATAATAATAATTGTAATACAAAAGAAAATGAGTGAGAACAATCCAGTGATCTTTGCTTTCAGACTGTTCTGATGGCAAAGCTGATGTGTATCGAGGTGGTGCTGTTGCTGTGACTTTCGTGGTGCAGGGGAGGGCCCTCAAGCTCCTCTACCATGAGTGGGTGCAGAGCGGGTTTGAGGCTCCCCCGTCCTTCCCTCCATACTGGGCCACAGCTGGTCAGAGCTCCCAGCCTCACCGGTTCCCCATTTCCTTATTGCAGCTCTTGCCGTCTCTTTGCAGCTGCTCGGGACACATGTTCAGCTCCCTGCTGAATTCTGTCTTAAAATATGAAAATGTCATCCTTTATTTTTACTGTGTGCTGTGGGGAGCTGGTCCTCTTTATCCTGAATGAGTTTGGGGAAGGTGGGCTGTCAGAGGAGCTGGCACTGCCAGGATGGAGACTGCCTCTCTTTGGGAATGAGCGGCTGGATTTGTGTGCATTTAAAGCCCAGCTCCTCCACATGGCCTCAAATCCTCGAGAGACAAGATGGCAGGGTTCATCAAGAAATGTGGCTGGAGGTGGTGGGCTGGCTGCCTGACCAGCCAGCTGAGCTAGCGGGATAGAAGGGGTGCATAATGGTGAGGCCTTTCTGTGCGTGCATCCCGCTAGCCTGCACGTGAACCAGGGCTTATGGCCGCTCCAGGGAATTTGAGCTGGACCACAGGCTTCAATCCATTCTTGAAATGCGGTGCAATGAGTTAGAGGAAGGAGGTTTGTTACAAAATGCTGCTGCTTCTGGTTACCACAGAGACCAGCACAGTTTCAGGGACTGAACTATCCTTGGCAGCAAAAAGTGCTAATTCAGCCTTTCCTCCCACTTACATCAAGGCTCCATTTGGCCTGAAAAGAGCTGTGCAGGGCAATCCGTCTTCCTGCAGGCGCTCTGGGAGAGCAGGAGCTGAGACGCAAAACAAGGCTGAGAAGTGTTTGGGCACTGGGGGTGGGATGGGGGGCTGTGGGGACAGTCATCAGTCAGGGGGGTCTGGGGAAGCAGGTGGACAGTGAGGTCTTTGGAAAGTGAAGTAGGAGTGTGAGGACGACTTTGGAAAGATCCTCACACTTGAGCGCGGTAGGCTGCAGTAATTCAAGAGGTGGGAGAGAGCACTGATGGCAAAGCTTTCCTCCTGCAAAGATGCAGATGGCAAACCCGAACCATCCTGTTTACCCTCAATGTGTTTTAGGGTCTACGTGTGCACTGTGACGGGGCTGATGCCTTTGTCTAAGTGCCCTTTGGGGTACCTTAGGGCAAAGCAAACCATCACAAGCCTCTTCTCTCATGAGCTCCAGCCCTTCCACGGGTGCTGTAGGTGGTGGGCAGAAGGCAGTCCAGGCAGATTAAATCCAGAGGATGAACCCTGACATGGGCTGGGCACGAAGGCTGAGCGTGCTGCCATCCTGCAGTCAGCACTGCAGTGCACTCTGGGCTGCCAGGGGGACTGCTGGTCACAGCTGCATAAATAATCACAAAAACAGGGATTTCTGAGCAGAGGAAGGTATTGCAGGGAAGATGAACAAGGAAACATGGAAGCAACTGGCTAAACTATTGCAGGTCCATCCCAGTGTGGCACTGTGACTTCAGGACCCTTTTATATGATGGATTAGAGCTGAGTGCTTTTTTCCCCTTGATGATTTTCCCTGATTCCCAGCCTTCACAGGAACAGAAGAATTTGGGAGGACCAAGGCACTATTTGCATTAATTGGTGTAAATCAGAAGTCATTCTGATTATGCTGAGTTTGTGCTGCTCAAGCAGAGCAGGATCTGGCCTACGTTGTTATGATCCTGTGAAGTTTTAACCAGCAATTTGTTTCAACACCTCTGGCCTCACAAAAATATAATCCGGTGTTTGCCCAAGCATGGCTTTTATGCTGAATGCGACGTTTCCCAGTGTACAAGAATAATAAATCTTGATAAATGCAGCAACACCTGGGAGACAGAAAAGGAGGCTGTACAGGCAGAGCTCTTAGAAACATCATACACGTTTGTTATGAAAGTGTGTCTTGCTGTGCCTTTAAAGACATGCAGGTGTAGTTAAAAATGAAAGGTATTCTGAAAGGGCACTGAAGGCTTCAAATGTATTGAAAGCACTGTCCTAATTTCTGGCTTGAGATTTTATTCTTTAGGAAAATTAAAAAGAAATCTTGTTGCTGCTGGGGCTCACTGAAGACATTTTTCTGTGCAATGCTCACTGTGGTTTATGCCAGCATTTCTTCTGTTTAATCTCTTGGTTTTGCTACGTTTGCCGTTTAAAAAAAAAAAGTTCACAGTTAATAAGAAACTGGGCAAACACAAATGGCAGGTAAATAAGCTTGTTCAAACTTTGTGTGTGTTAATTCAAACTTTGTGTGTGTTAATTCAAACTTTGTGTGTGTTAATTTTTACAGCCAATAATTGCAATCCAAAAAGAAATTAAAACATCCTGCCTCTTAGTCAGAGGCAGAATGTCTGAAGTGTGGCTGCATAACAAGTTATTTCAAATTAGAGGCAAAGCTTTAATCGTTATTAACTGAATTTCCTGTGCAAAATCTAGCTTTATGTGTGTAAAATAGTGCGAATCAAGCCTGCCATTAGGGTGATCAGGTCTTCCTTTTGATTGCCCACTGCTGCTGTATCCCCAGATGCGAACAGTTCCCGGTGTTGCTCTTTTAAGTCAAGAACAGCAGTCTTGTGGGGCTGGAAAATATCTACTCTGCACCATTCTGTCCCTGCTCCTTGATGGTTTGCAGCATGTGTAGACAGAGCCTTCTTGGGTTGGTTTCTCTAGGAAAACCTCTCGTCCGGGAAGAGAACCCTTCCTGAAGAGTGATCAGAGCTTCTATTACATGTTGCTGTTGCCTTGGGTTTGGATGGTACTTAAGCGCAGTTCTGGAGGTAATGCAGAGCTCCTTTCTTTTGGTCAGGAGGTCTGCACTGAGCCATGACAAATCATTTCTCAGTCCTTGGTAGGGCCCTTGGTTGAAGCAATGGGGCAGAGCTGCAGGGGTGGCTGCTGTTCCTGCCTGGTGAATCCAGCAGATTTACCGTTCACACCGATGCCTGGATGTAATTACTCTAAAGCTTTGCCTTTGAAGTCCTCTAAAACCTTATCCCCGTGTTTGTCATCTGCAAGTATCCATTTCCTGAGATTAGTGGCCAGGGCTGTGCTAGAAACAGGTTTAGTCACAGTTAAAATTTAGCTAGCAAGCTCCGTGTCATGCCTGATGCATTCACAATCCTAGCTGTGTCCTGAGCCTCAGCTTCCTAAATCTTCATCCAAGCATTTTTTTTACATGACAATACCTTGCTAGCTTGTTTCATTTGAACCTAGTTCTCAGCCTTTCAATCCTGGAAGGGATACTAATGCCTAGATTTAGACATGTTTATCTTGCAACTTCATGGAGGAATTGTTCCTGGATACCACAAAACATAACATAGTCCAGGGCATTTGTGCTCAGTAAAAGAGGGAAAGCAAAAAAATTAATCCGTGAGAATTCTTTGTTTTTAAAGTCTTCCTTTGCTTTGAAGCCAAGCACACTGAATCAAACGAGAGAGCTCTTCCATTTGGCTTCAGTGAATCTTTGAGGTTGCCATTTTTGCTGACACTGGCTGGAATGTGTGTGCGTATCTGTTTCTGTTTGTACTGCAGGAGTCGTTCTGCACAGAGTCTGTGGTCAGATGGGCACTGAGAGCTGGGCTGGCTTTCTTTGGAGAGCAGTAGTGGGTTTTTTCTCTATGACTTTGCTTTTCCTTCTGTGAGGAGCAGTGTTTCTGTGGTAGGAAATCCCAGACCATGACAGCCTCTGTGTTCTGTTTCAGGCATCAGAGGGTGTTCCCGTGAAGTGTTTCGATAACTTGGAGGAACTGATAGAATTTTACAAGAAGGAGAACATGGGTCTGGTATCACACCTCAAGTATCCAGTGCCGCGGGAAGAGGAGGAGGCTGCAGATGAACCGGAGGAGGATGCTGGTAAGAAACCCATGATGTGACTTGGTGATGCAGACCCTTGACAATTACTCTGGGACTGGAGATATGCAGGGCAGGCAGAGGGATTAGAGCATGTCATGCAATAAAATGGAGCAGGACATAGAGAGACCCGAGCTGGCAAGACCTGGAGGCAGTGAGTCCTCATGGCTCTGGGGTGGTGCTGCATCCGGAGCATCAGTTTAGCTCACCTGAGGGAATACATTGAGACTCTCTGAAGAAGTATATTGCATCAGGTGCAGGGCTGACTAATCTGTTGTCCTTCATCTGGACTCAGGCTGGTTTATGTTCAGCCATCTCACACGTCTTTGCACCCCTCTTCCTGCGCTGCATCTGTAGGGCCATTGTCTGAGCAGCAGAGATGCTCCTCTAGAGACTTGGAGCAGTGCCACGCACCTGCAGCTGCTGTGGGTCTTGGGTCATCTGAAACTCGGGTCCCCTTATCTGCTCTGATCTAGAGAACATTTCTAACAGTCATAACCAGAGGGCACAGATCCTGCAGTGGCAGACAGTCTAGCTCTATGTATAGACGCAGATGTATGATGAAGAGGTGTGATTGGCATCATCTCAACTATTTTACATGAAATGTCACTGTGGGTTCCTGACACTCGCTGGTCTTTGGTCATTCCTTTGATTTTTCCTGGATCATCCCTTGGATCTGTCATTGTTCTCCTGAATCCCAGGGGAAGCTCATGCCCACAGAGCCATCCTTCCTGTCCTTCCTGACGTCTGTCCGGAAATGATGAGCATTACAATAAACTTGTCTGAAGGACATAGTCCTTGCGACAGACAGACAGGCAGGCATGTGCACTAAAGCAGATTGATGTGCCTGTGTACATTTAAGCAATCCCACTGATCTTTAATAGGACCTGGAAGATTTTGGTATGCAATTCTCACAAAGAAACAGAACAAAATTTTGCAAAGCTGCTCAGGAAAGATGTTCCTGTTTTTAGGCCAGCTGCACTGAGTCTCCAGCTCTCTGGGTGGGGGAGGGAACTACAGCAAAAATAATACACAGAGAGGCGAGCAGCAGGGAATGAAGTTCTAGCCAAGACTAAGAGCCTTTAGATGAAGAGATGTTAGCACTGGGGCTGGGCTGTTCATGTAGAGAATTTAATTTTTTTAAGGCACTTTGGTGCCATCGTGCTGGAGCCGTGTAGGGCCTGTAGATGTCTGGCCATCTTACATGTAGAATTGCAGAGGTGGAAGATGAGCACCCAGATACCCTGCAGATGCACCACCCAGCTGTGCCATTACTCAGTGCTGAAGTGACTCTGTGAATCCCAGCTTCTGCCCAGGAGCAATGGATCAGTTTGGGGTATCTTTTTGTAATGAAAATTCCACCATTAGGAAATAACCAAACAAAACCTCACAACTCAACCAGCTACATATGACAAGGGTAACAAAGCGTTGGAGCAATTGGTATGAAAAGAAATGCAACCATGGTTGGGATAAATGGAGATGAACCCACTCTTCTCCCAGGGAGGGAGTTATGCTGAGCAGCAGGATGACAGAGCAGGAAAAGCCTTTGTGCTTCCAATTTGATGCCTGCAAGACAAGGCAAGATACTCAGCCCTCTGTATTGGATTATGGGGTCTATTTTCTCCGTCTGTGTTTGCTTACTTTAGCTGTTCACTTTTTTCCATTAGCAGCTTCAGACGATCTTTCCATCATGCCTCTCCATCCATTCTGCCCCAGTAGCAGATCTCCATGATAATGGTAATGATATGGATGAGGTACAGCTATGTTCTCTAAGTGTTATATGCAAAGTAACTAATTAACCTTCATAGCTGCTGCGCAGATGGGACAGTCAAACCGGCTGGGATGAGGTTACACTGCCAGGCAAAGGCGTACACTGCCTGCACATGAGGGGCAAGCCTGGCAGCTCAGCCCGCTGGTCTCGTACCACTGACATCCCTGAGAACAGGGCTGGGCCAGTATGGAGCCCTGGGCTTTCCAGCTCTGAAATCAAAGGCCCTTCAGAAGGGATGGATGGTTTCTACAGTGACTGCCATCGCAGTGCAGACTCTGCCCTGCCTGTGGGTGAGGGGGAGGAGGTCGAATTGCCATGCTGGGATGACTGTGCCTTTCCCTTCCTCCTTGCCAGACCTGGTGCCCACGCCTCCTATCCTGCCCCCACGCAACATCCTCAGGGCATTGCCAAGCAGCGAGACAAAGGAGGTATCTTCTCTCCCTGAAAACTCCAGGGTGGCCGATGTTAATAAACTGTCCCTTTCTGAGACACTACTCCAGCGACTGCAGTACCAGGACACCAGCAGGTGAGGATGGCAAGTCACAGGGCTGCAGAATTGCCTTCAGCCCAGCTCTGCGCTTTCTGGGCCTCTCTGTCTGGGACAGCTGAGGACCTATTTAATTCAGTGAAACTACCCCTCGTTTATACTACCAAATGAAGAACAGAATCAGATCTACAGTGCCTTGGCTACTCTTTACAGTCCAGCTGTCATCCAGAAAAAAATACTTTTCTGAAGTATTAAAATCACCAATAGACTTTCTCCACTGAGGTATAGTTTTCTAATATGAAGGATGGTAATATCTGAGACAGCTTGGTGTACTAGCTGTGTGCCTAAATACAGATTGCACCAGAAAGCACCAGCCAGTCCTCAGAGAGAATAATCTTGTGTGTGGATTTCCAGGTACTCATACTTACTGATTTACTCCAGCTACAGGTCTGACTCACATTGTCCCACGTGCTAGCTGTGTGAGATCTGGACATGCACTGAAGCCTTAGAGGAAGCTGCATGACATTTAATGACCAGATCTGCTAAGTTTAAAAAGAAAAATAAAATCAGAAGGCATGCCTGTTGGCAGGGCAGTGGGAGGCTGTGAGCAAACAGTGGTCGTGCGTGGTAGCACAGGTCTTGTTGTGGTGGCCTGGTTACAGCTGGCTGACTGGGAGAAACCCAGTTTTGTTCAGCTGCCTGCACCATTTCATCTGCTAAGCAGCCAGCTGGGACTTTCTGCGTTTGTCAGGGCACAAGACAGCGCATACAGTCTGCTGGTTCATCCTTCCTTGTGGTGCTGGAGTCCAGGCACCACAGAGACAGGGAGGAGGGGAGCATCCCATACAGCTCTGTGGTCTCAGCCCCCCTAAGGCTGTTTTGGATTGTTTGGAATAAAACCTTCAACACAAGACTTGTGAGTCTTGAGGTGAAAGAGATTCTTCATCTCCCCAGAGCCCCGGAGCTGCTGACTATTAGTGACCTCACAGCAGCCTGGCTTTACCTGCCAAGGTTAACGATCCCACCATGGCTGTGGCAAAGCCAGGCATCACAGGACTTCCCCTGGCATGGTAACTCAGCAGTTGCGGAGGGAGGGGATTTGGGGTGGAGAAGGAGGAAGAGGAGAAGGTGTCAGCAGTGTGGTTGGGGGATCCATGGTCCAATTCTGAGAACTGCCTATTGACACTAAAATCCAAGGCAAGTTGCCCCCCATCTGTCTGTGCCAGCAGTGGAAGTTTCAGGAAAAATAATAAAGCTGATATTTGGGAGCAGGGAGAAGAGCTGGCTTTTGACCTGTCTGTTTCTTTCACAGCGTCTCTGATGAGCATCTTAAACTTATCCAGGATTACCTGCGAGTTCACATCATCAGTGACTTTGAGATGGTGCAGACTGGCTCAAGCAATCTTCCTCAACTGAAGAAACTACTTACACTTCTTTGCAAAGGACTCTTCAGGTAACTAGAGGCTGGTTTTCAGACTATAGTGCTGTAATGCTGTAGTCTAACATAGGTTCTACGTGCACGCATTCAGAACCTGCATTTCTGGCATAGGAAATTGGCTTGTCCTCAGAAACATTATATTTAGATCTCATGACCTGTGATTCTGGTCCAAAGATGTGAAATCTATATAAAAGACATAGCTCTGACAGTGAAGATTCCCTGTAGGCGGTTTCAGTCAGTGGAGTATTATTTTTTATGCTTTGTTTAGAAGGAAACAAAACAAAAAATGCACTAACCGATTAACTGCATAATTTGGTAATGCATAAATGACACCCACAGAATTGTCAAGCACAAGTCGTTTATGGAAACAAGCACATATTGATGTATAGTTATGTTTTAAACACTGATTTTCCTTCCCACTAATGCACTGTGAACCTGGAGTGATTCCGCTGATCTCAGTGAAGTCCAGCTTATATTAAAAGAGAAACAAACCTAGACTCTACAAATTTTACCTTTCCTATTTGTGGACTTTCCAGATCCCAAATAGGAAAACTCCAACAGGGAACTAAAACCTTGCAGAGGTCCCTCTTTCTCTGGTGGAAAGATGTGATTCCCCCCCCCCTTGCTGCTTGTAAGCAAATGAGGAGATTAGTCCATACTTCTGCAGAGATCTTAGAGTACTCTATGGCACAGGGCACATACTTCCACACTTTTACCTGTGGCTTGCAAGATCCTTCTCTCCAGTGTACTTAGAGGTAAGGCTGGTGGTGCTACTGGCCTGATCTTGTTCTCCTAGAGCTCACCAAGGCTGAAGAAAGGACTAAAATGAGGGGTGGATACTGCTGATTTGCTTGGCTTTAACCCATGGAAGGAAGGCAGGGAGTGAGTGAGGTCCCCAGCTGCTGGGGACCACGATTACTCCCCTGAAGCAGTAGGCCCTTTGCACATTATACCAGGCAAAGGGAGAGGAATATTCAGCCCTGCTCCTTCTGCCAGAAGCCAGCTGCCCACAGACAAGCCCCTGGCCGGACTGAGGACAGGTTGTGCAAAGAGCTACCCTTCTTCTTCTGCGCCCTGCTTGAGAGTTTTGCTTCTCTACACCCACAGAGCAGGAGACCCAGGTGGCTAACTAAGAATAAACCTGAACAATGGAAACTAAAATCTAATGAAATCACAAGTGAGAGTTTTGTGTTATTAAAATACCTCCAGTACGCTGGTCTGATGTTGGCTGGCTTTTTCCATTTCCAACTTCTTATTCTACTTCACCTTATCTGGGTTTCACAACCCTACTCTTCATAAATGGTCCACAATCCTCTCAAGTGCCAGGACACATTTTACAGATTTTCTCTGGGTTTTTTTGGTGACTGGGCTTTGCCAAGTGTCATCCTGGAACAGAGCTGGGTGAGTTCTGCTGGTGGAAGCCTGCTGAGCACAGGGGCACTGCACCACCGCAAACACAGCAAAGGGAAGAGAAAGAAAAAAAAAAAAGGCCTGCACTCTGTCCTTCTGCTGGCTGCATGTAGCTATAGAAATGTACATCCTCATGCAGTTCTTCCCCAGCATTTTCTTCCCATACCTGCATTATTTCAGTTAGATGGAGCTGCCTTCTCAATTTTTTTGTGAAAATCCAGAACTGCAGGCTTTTTCCAGTCCCAGTCAGATCTCTCTGAAGAACCTCTCCCCCTCTATTTGGATTGCCCCATGGATCTCTACCATCCAACCCAACTATTTGCTTAGCTTCAGCCAGCTAATAGTCAGATGCTTGAGTATTTTAAGGTTTTCTGCAGTCTTAATCTCCGAAGTTGTCTGGGGTTTTAGCTTACTTCCCCGATCAGACTTCTGAACTCAGATTTAATCAGTAGCATTACCTAAATTTATTTTTTATTTACCTCAGCTTTCTTCAGCAGCACAGGGATTCTAGCTGAATGTACAGGTAATTCCTAGGCTGCTTCTCAGTGGCTGTGTCCTCATTTTCTTAATAATGTTCGGTTTCATTATTTTCACAATATTTGAGAATAGGTTAAAAAATCCAAACAAACAAGAAGACAACATGTTAATTGGCACAGCTTGAGCTCTTTCGCTGGAGTTGAAGCTCCTTTGAATTTCCTGGCACTGCCGAGGGTTAAGAGTGTGCAGGCAGACACTTGCTGTGTCTGAGCTGACCCTGGCTGTTTGTGAGACACTCTGTTTTGCTGTGAATCTGAGGTTTTTATGATGCTGTATTCTGCTTCTTCCAACCTCCCAGAGCCCAGCTGTGCCATCTTTCAGGGTCACTCTCAGGCATGCTGCCGTCACTGTCAAAAATGAGCATCCCAATGCCCTTTGGTTGACTCACTCCTGTGTTTTGATATTGGGCTGTGGGTAAGCACTGACTGCCAATGTTAGCAAGGCAGAGGGGAAGCATTAGGAGAGGAAAAGAGCTTATAGTGAACCACGGGTTTGGGAGAGGAGTTGGACCAACTGTTTGTGAATAGAACTTTTACAGTTCATGTATTATCCATGGAGAGGTGCAGCACCCATTTCTGACCAAGGAGCTCAAGCACAGGTGGGCCCCAGCAGACTGGGAGTGCAGAGTTTGTGATCTCTTCCCCTCACCCTCCTCACCACTGATCCCTGATTAATTCAGCAAGGACCAGACCCCAATGTGCATTAGAGACATTGAAAGCTGGTTTTAACTCTGCTGGAAGCTCCTGCTACCTTCTAGGGCTAGCTGTGGCCAAGGGGGTCAGCACAGCCATGGCATATCTTCTTATCAGAGCCTGGGGGACGACAGGGCAACCACTCTTGGGAGAGGCTGTTCACTCTGGCAGCTCATATACTAAAAATGAAACAAAACAGAGACTTGTAAGGCTGATGGGTACTTTTCTGAAGCAATGAGTGCTAAAAGAAATTGGTATATAAGGGTTTCCTTAGGGGAATCTTCCAGGGGCTGGAAAGCTGACTCAGGGAGAGCTTGTTGCCAGCGCAGCAAGGAGTGGGGACTACCCATGCGAGCGCACTTTGTTCAGAGTTTCCTACCAGCTTTAAGTGAAAAACACTAATAGTGGCCTACTCAGCCTGCTACTGTCTGAAGCCATCATTTGGTCATTGATCACTGCTCTGCATGCTCCTGTTTATTCTCCCTCACTGGATAATTTGCACATAGAGCTTTTAAGGGAGCTTTTCAAGCACTTGTGATACCAGCACTTTTGCAATCGTATGTGAACACAGAGGCTTCTGACACTTCAGTGAAGATCACTATGTATATTTCCTTTATACTATCAAGAGAAGAAAACAAAAGGAGTTATAAGTGCAATTAAAACGACTTTGTAGTTTTGTTGAGTTTGAACGCTTGTGGATGCTCTTCCCCCATCCTGACACGCATGCTACATGTTGCACTGTATAGTAAATAGAGGGTAGTTTTCCCGTGAGGAATCATTTCTGAACTGCTTCAAGCAGCTGCTGCTCTGTGTTTTTTGGAGAGATGGCCTACACATCCTGCACTCTTGGTCACAGCAAATATCTTTTCATTCTTTTCAAACTGAACTTCACCCAATGCTCCTGCAACTGCCTGCAGCCTCCTGGGGCCTGACTGAACGGGCGCAGAAATCAATGGGAGTCTGGGTTTGGGGCCAGAGCCATTTGCGGTGACACTGGCTATAGGTGATCCAAAGGTGAATAATGATGTTGGAGGACTGAGTTTAGCAGATTCATATTGCTACAAGTGTCTTGTACTTCTCTGTGCCCTATGGCAGGTCTTCCAGACTGAAATTTCAAATATGAGTGCTTAATTTAGGCAATTAATCATCCATGGTTTAGCACCTAGACAAATATCTAATCTTCAGACAATCAGGCATACTTTCGCTTTGGAGCACTTTCCCCAACAAACAGGGAGTAAAATCCGGTCCATTCAGACATAGGAAAGTGAGGGAAATCATTAATATCCACTGTTGACTAGGCACAATGCAAGCATCCTAGCACTGCTCCCCACCATCACCTTCCTTTTGACCTGCGCTCCCTGGCTGCTCTTTCCGTGATAAGTCTTGTCATTAGCGGAGCACGGCTTCTGTGCCAAATTCATGCGACAGCGTTTTGACGAATGAGCATCCTGTGGAATCTAATTGGGAAATCCTGAGGGAATCTCATTGTAACCTGCAAATGGGTCCCGTTCACAAGGTTAAAGGCTGGCTCTTCCATCGCCTCGCTACGCCCAGCCCATCTTTGTCATGTGAGCTGAGAAATCTAAAAATTAGTTTCCTCTTCACCCAGTGTCTCCAGCATCCTGCATCAGCTTCAGCAGCTGCTCAAGGATTGTGCAAAATCGAGCTGTTCCTGCCCCTGTGGCATTCGTAGGCACCAAACTTTGCTGAGCTTTGAGATTTTTGAATGCACTTTGGGTTGGCATAGTTGAGTTGATGCTGGTTTTACAGGGTGTGTCCTCAGGTTTGGCCCGACTGGGACATCTTTCTGGGGAGATTTAGTAAGTTACATCTCCAAAGCAAAACCGAGGAACAGGCAGTATGCCCATGCCTCAGCCATGGCAAGGCTAGCTCAGCTGCTGAAGTCTGAGCCGCCTTCGTTGGCGGAGTCACTAAGGCAGCTGAGAAACGCTCTCATCACCCATCCTACCAACTCAGAGGGCAGTAAGCAGCAGGAGACAAGAGCGTGACACATGGTGTGAGTAGGCTTGGTGTGAATATGTGCTCGTAGTCTCTGCTGCACGGCTTTGTCCAAAGAGACCAAGTGCTAACCTACCTAGGGACCTGACTGCAGCCTTAGACCTCTGCCCTGTCTCTCTTCCCAGTGAAGCCTCTAGGACTCTCCCATCTCTGGAGTCTATCCAGAAGGTGTTTGAGCAGCAGCTGCACCCTGGTGTCCATCAGCGCTCACAAGTAAGTCGGCTGGAAGGTGGGAAAAGGAGGAGAGAGTGGAGTGGGGGTGGCTGTCAGCACGGGGGAGGGAAGGGTTCTGGTTGCACAGCAGTGACCGGTGGGATTCAGGTGATCAGTTACCACTTCTGTTCTCTTTAGCCTCTTTCTGGCTGCAGTGCAGAGGGCACACAGTGAGTTATATCCCCACAGTTTCACTTATCCCATAGTCCCCTCTGCCTGCTCTCCCTTCCTGCCCCAGAAGAAAGCGCAGCGAACTGCCTGAGGACTTCCATCACCCCATCCTCTCTGGCCTGCGGGCTAGGACTGCACATTTCTCTTTCCATAAACTTCACTCCAGGATGTTTCACTGCCAAATCCTTCCTTCCCCCAGCCCACTTAAGTCCCATGACCTTCCTCTCCTTCCCAGTAGCCCAGAAAACCAAAAGTCCAGGATTTCTGTATGTTGAGCCCTGGACCTGGTCATGCAAACCTGTCCCCCAGCAACAAGCTGACTCCCTTGCATGCCCAGCTGCCTCTAACCTACGGACAAGATTTGCAAATTGGTCCTTCCACCCTCCCATACTTCTGCATGTTCAGCCAAACTCTGTGCTGTTGTGCTGCCCTTTACGAATTAGAGTGGCAGAGGCACAAGTGCTGCTCCTTGCTCTGTGTGTGAGGTGTTCCTTGGGGCAGACTGCTGTGCTTCCAGGCCGTGCTCTGTGGGTTTGATAATTATACACCTCTCTCTCTTTTTGTTTCTATGTTGCGGTTATCAGATGCTCGGTGAAGCTAGTCCAGTCAATATTGTATTGAAACTCAATCAGCTGATTTCTTTGCTGTCTTCCATTGAAGAAAAGGTAGAGTTTTAAAGTTATTTTATGTTATCTTCTTGTCATCTTTTGCCTCAGTTATGCTTCTTGTTCATCATCAGTGCAATCCTCTGCTACAGTAAGATTTCTTTGCTCTGACTTCATTACTCTCAATGTAGTACAGAATCACAAAATGCAATTTGGTACACAGAAATTCTTTTACAGGTGAAAACACTGTTGATTGAAGGTCCTGATTCAACACACCGGCGTTCCCTTATCCCCCCTGTCACTTTCGAGGTAAACGTACTTCTTTAACAATGCTGATCACAATGTGGAATGCAGATTTATGTCAGTATCTCAGTTCCTGGGAACTTTGCTGTGCTGCCACAGAGATAACAGTTATTCCTGGATGCGGTTTAGCACCGTGCAAATGCTTAAGAGATGTCTAGTGAGATTGGCATAACGACAATATGTGTCCATGAATTCAGGCAAGCGTTGCATTTGTAATACGCATGACTGAAGTGTAGATCGCTTATGAAAAAATCTCTGTTTTCCAATAGGTGAAAGCTGACTTGCTAGGAATTTTCTCAAAAATACATCTCAAGGTTGATGTGGAAATGGGAAAACTGATTATCAAGAGAGCTAAGGATGGTCCAGAAGACAAGTTTTATACCCACAAGAAAAGTAAGATGTTTATGGTCACAAATGATGGACTAGACTCTTGGTCTCTTGGATGATGGGGAGGGGTTCCCTTTGGCCCCACTGAGGGCAAGGTTTGACCCTGAGCACACATATTTCCGCTACCTCCTGGGTGTTGCGCAAGGCTCCAGTCAGTCTAGACTGTCTAGCCCCAAAGCAGCCTGCAGAGAGCAGGGAGTCATTTCTGGGATCACCAATTTCACAGATTGCTTTAGACCTGGCCTCCTCTAAATGAAGACAGTGGTAGCAGGACTGCAAGGGAGCAGGTTTTGATAGAAGATTCCTCATAGAGCTGGTTGCAATAGACCCATTTTCTACTGAAAAGCAATGTTGCTCGAAAAAACCCCATTCTGCAGGAACATATTGACTTCTGTAATGATTTTTGATGGTTAAAAAGCCAGATACTCAGTTTCAGTAACATTTTTCAGTGAATTTCCCCTTGATGGTTTTTTTTGGGGGGTTGTGGGGTTTTTTTGGTTGGTTGGGTGGGGGTTTTTTTCAGTATGAGAATCAATATCTCTTCTGATAAGCAATGCCAATTTGGTCTGTGAAGGCCCAGTTCAAATAACTTCCATTTTTTTCTGTTGTGTTTCTGGACAGGCAGCTCACGGAGATTGAGCCAAACGGGGTAGGATTTATCAGAGAGTAAACGATGCCCTTGGGGTTTTTCCTGCTAGAAAATCAACCTGTTGCTGACAGTGATTGAAAAGATTAGCTTTCACGTATGGGTTTCTCCAGCTGGTGTTCCTAATTACTTAGCTGCTATTTTAGATGGGGAGGAATCACCTTTACCACCAAATGAGGTTTTACCTCCTCTTTCACAGATGGGGAAGGAATATAAGTAGGCTGGCTTAGGATGCAGAGAGGTTGCCTGCAGAAAGCCAAGGCTTCACTTCAGGCTGCAGGGTGTGGTGTGGACAAGAACTCCGCGCAGAATGAATTTTGGGGGGGCCTCTTCACTTCAGTGTCCAAGTCTATTCCTATAGGGAACAGGATTAAGCAACATTAAAATGTAGTTATGCGGGGCAAAGCGAGCCTCAGGCATAAAAGACCGTGTAAGTCCTGAGCCTGCAAGCAGGGTCCTGTTAGTTTTGGTGGGATTCTAGTTTCAGTGACTGCAGCTCATGACACCCAGTCTCTGTTTAGTCTTGCAGCTTATCAAATCCCAAAAAGTTCCTAACAAACTGGTGATTGTGCTGGAAACAGAAAAAGAAAAAACGCAGCGGAAGGAATATGTTTTCTCTGATTCCAAGGTACGTACACAGTGTTTCCTTCCTGCCAGCCTGGAGCAGGTACCTGGGTGAGAGTGGTACAAGGGGTATTCCTTGGCAGAAAGAGGAACTGTTGAAGGATGGTGGTTGGCTTTGCAAAAATGAAATTTCTCCTTTGTTCTGGAAACATCCAGAAAATGAACAAGTGTACTGTTCATTTAAAAATGAAGGGAGATACAGGAGAGGGCAACCATACCTAGGTGCTGTCACTGAGGCAGGAGAACAGAGTGTTGGCTAGGAGTCATGTGATGGTAGCTGCAAAAAGGTTCATATAGACAAATGAGGGCAGCCTAGGCTTTCTTCTGACCAGCTCAGCACTTGTTAAAGTAATGCAACAAGCTAAGTGCCTAAGAAAGTACCACAGGAAAGACAGCCTCTTCGAAGGTTTCAGGGTAGTGGAGAGCTAATCTGCCCTTCAAGTGTGCTGGGGATTTCCTGGTTCAGCTAGTTTTTCAAGAGGTCATGTTGGTGGAGTTAAGCATCTCGTTAATTGTCTCTGCTCCTCCCTGTCTAGAAGAGAGAAGGGTTCTGCCAACTTCTGCAGCAGATGAAGAATAAGCACTCGGAGCAACCAGAGCCTGATATGATCACCATCTTCATTGGGACCTGGAATATGGGTATGGGCGCCCTTCTGACACGGGCATTCCTTCAGACACTTACCAAAATGTGTGCTCATCTGCCGCAATGAGCTCCAGACACTGTGTTTGTTCTGTGGCAGATCTGTACACCAGGGTTGTCTTCCCATGGGACAGGGGAAAGAGCTGGTCTCTAGGCTAACTGCACATCAGCTGCTTCTGAACCTGACTAGGGACTGTTCGTGTCCAGCCTGAGAAAACAGCTGAGTATCTGTGATATTTAGAGAAAGGGACAGGGTGTAGTTCAGGACAGTGGAATTTAAGTTATTTTTCCCATTTTGGGGGAAAAGCCTGGTTCAACTGCTGTAAGCTGAGCTGTCTGTGCTCAGTCATACTTACGGGGTAAGGTAAAGGCAGTGGCAGGCCAGAAGTACAGCTCCCTGCCTTTACTCTTGGCTAGGCTTGGCCTTGGTAAGCTAATGAAATAGAGGAAGATGGTCAAAGCAGCATCACCCCTTCATTAGTGGGGCTAATATATTTGTCATCTTAGAGTAGTGTGCCATGGCTGATGAGAAACTGATACAGGACAGAGTGAATGTGAAGCCTATTATTTCTGTCCCCATGGGTTGTCTATATCCTGGGTTTGACAGAACATACTCTGACTTACTTTGGTGTTTGATTTGTTAATAAAAGGTGCTGCACCTCCCCCAAAGAAGATCACATCCTGGTTTCTCTCCAAGGGGCAGGGGAAGACCCGTGATGACACTGCTGACTACATTCCTCATGACATCTATGTGATTGGCACCCAGGAAGATCCCCAAGGGGAGAAGGAATGGCTGGAAACCCTGAGGCAATCCCTGCAGGAAATCACCAGTATCACCTTTAAAGTGGTGAGGATTTATTCCATCTATTGCGCATGACTCGGGCATATGAGGAGGGTATGTGTTGTGCAAATAAAAGAGACAGAGGAATAAGTGGCATTTTGTCTACACGTCCTCTCCTTCTCTCCCTTTATTATCATTGCATTTGGGTGAGGGATAGTGAAATGAATCTGTGTCTGTGGACTCCATAAGATCCTCCTCTGGAGCTGGCTAGATGGGCATATTGCTACGGACAGTGACCGCCCCACTGCCAGAGCAGGGACCCTGCAGTGAAGCTCCTCTGCTTGCCAGCCTGGGAGCAAGGGACAGCTGCTGAGCACCCAAGTCAAGTGGTGGTGATATTTTGACCTTCATAAAGAACGAGATTGTAAAAGTTTGAGCCAGCTGTAGCCTAGATCTCACCCTAGGCTATTGCACTTGCTTACAAGATAGGATGTAACGGCACACAGGCACAATCGTAAAAGAAACTGAACCTTATTAAGACCAGGTTTGGACATTCCTGAGTTTCAGTGATGCCAAGAAGCAAAACTAAGCATATCTGGAAGGCCACAGGAGAGCAGGACTTATGACTCATGGTGATTGGGAAACTGTATTTTGTGCAAGCAAGGCACTGCAATGATTGTCTAGAAAAGAGCTAGGTCCTTCCTCCCACCTTTGATTAAAATGACTGAAAACATATCCTGAGCACAGGAAGAAAATTTGTGTAGGCGAAGTACTACAGAAGGAGTCAGGAAGGCTGCAGCTACAGCGCAGCTCCGCAGGTATGTGCAGAAACATAACCTCTAACCTTCCCATCCCTACAGATAGCAATCCATACCCTCTGGAACATCAGGATTGTTGTACTGGCCAAGCCAGAACATGAGAACCGCATCAGCCACATCTGCACAGACAACGTGAAGACAGGCATTGCAAACACACTGGGTGAGGAACAGACCTGGTCTTGTCTGAAGGACTGAGATCTGTTCAATCTGTGCCAATACTGTCCTTGAAATGGAACAGCTTTCTCCACAAGACACCTTTGACTACATTTACGTGACACCAGTGGTACTAAAGTTATATCCCACTAGCACTGATTATATCTTACCCTGCAAGAGAGGAAATCTATTTGTGGGTATACTTAGCACATATATATATATATATTCCCAGCAAACACCTTTGGCTATTTGCTTGCTCTTTCTTGGGTTTCACAGGGAAATTGCACTTCTTTCCCTTCAACTAATTTTTTTAGCATCATTAGAAAATTTGTTATCACAATCTGTGCTGTATGTACTAATTCCTTCTGTGCTGATTAAGTCAACTTATTTCTCTTCTCTACCCTCCACTTCACTTAAGATGTGCTAGGTGCTTTATTATCTTTGCTAGACTCAGCCTGGAGGTGGATTGATTTCTTGACGGTTTTGTCTTATCTTTTTCCAGGTAATAAGGGAGCTGTGGGGGTGTCATTCATGTTTAATGGAACCTCCTTTGGGTTTGTTAACAGCCATTTGACTTCAGGAAGTGAAAAGAAACACAGGTAAGATACATCCTTCCCTCTCAAAAAAGCATGTTGACCCAGAGTGAAATTCTCTGGGCCATGTTTGAAAGGAGGGCCCACCAGACAGTTACAAGCATGTTTCCCTGACCATAAAATATTGTTAAATGTCTCCTGGGAGGGCAGCCTGTGATAAAGACGGTGCTCACTGTGTCACCATTTAAATTAAGGTCTTCTGCTATATGGCTATACCACATGGGTGCAAGTGAAATGGACAGCAAAACGATTTCAAAGCCAAGTGTTAACGTCTCACACAATACTTGTGCGACTTGTCATTCAAGCCCAGTACATGAAGAAAACAGTTCCCTGATCTGCTGTGTTTCTGAGAGATGTGGGAAGGCTTTTCCCATCCCAGAATAATGTGCTGAAGGTGACTGTCTGCCTCCTCACTGTGGGCAATGCTGTGAACACGGGAGCTATGGTGCGCCTTGAGCGCTGCTGAGAAAGATCCTGCTAGGCAGAGCGTGCTGTCAGGAATACCGAGAGGGAGGCATGTAGCACAGAAATATCTCCACGGTGGCTAATTCTCTGTAACCAGCTGTGAAATGAGTTTTCATGGTCTAGGCAGGTTCTGTGCAGCACAGGACTGGATGGCAAAGATCCCGACATTGGTAGGAGATCTGCGCCCACGCTGGGAGGAGCTGGAGCAGTTGGAAGGAGTGGTTTTGAAAGCAAAGAGGACTTGACATGAAGAGGTTGGCTTTGCCTTCTTTCCCAGTCTAGGACCTAGAAAACAGATGGTGTGGGATTTCTGCACAGGGTCTTTGCCACTGGTGGAGTTAACCTCTATGGAAGGGTTCCCCAGGGCCTGGAATAGCTGCCAAAATCTAGTTATGTGTTTGCTGCTGAAATCTAAAGGCAACAAGCTAGTGCTGGGTTTCTAGGACATGCAGCTCAGAAAAGCACAGCCCCAGGAGGCATCAAAAGTGGCTTTAGGACAGCTTTCCAGCCTTTCAGTTCAGGTGGAAACAGTCTGACACCCAAGGCGTACCCTGGAGCTGTTGTAAGTGCCACTGCCCCTTCCTCACAGCAGGCTGTCCTCCTGTCCCGCAGCTCCCCAGGCCACACGCAATACAAGCTACAGCATGAGAGCTGTGCTGCGTTACTGGTTGCATGAAGTAGGTTGGCTCACCGGCAGACGCTAAGCACGTTACCTGGGCCTGTCTGCTGAGGAGCAGTGCGAGGCAGGGGTGGCAAGCTCTTGGCTTCTCATCTGCTGTTCTCTAGATGTTGAGCCAGATCAGTTCCTGCCTGGTAAAGCGACAGTCTCTGCCAGCCCAGGTATTTAGAAATTGCATGGCAATTTAGTATGTCAGGCAGATGTTTCTTGTCTTGACAGACGCAACCAGAACTACACGAACATCTTGCGCTTCCTGACACTGGGAGATAAGAAACTGAGTCCGTTTAACATCACTCATCGCTTTACTCATCTTTTCTGGCTGGGAGACTTGAACTACCGTGTGGAACAGCCCCCAACGGTGAGGGACTCTGAGTGAATCCCTGGAGAGACAAAATACTGTGTTGCTATAGAAGCGCTATCTTTTTCTAATCTAGGGCAAGATGGCAGAAAGAGGGGAGGCAGAAGGGATCCCCAGGGCACGAGTGTGACACCAGTTGAGGGAGAGTAAGGAAATCCCCTTGCCCTCTTCAAGGATTAACGGGCCCAGGGCACGCCAGGAATGCTGTCTGGCACACTTTGCTGCTCCAGGCAGCATTGCTTCCCCAAACCTCCCAACCCTCTTTCCCACTGTGAACGAGCATCTGTCCCTGAACAGCTTGATCCAGAGATTGCCTTTCTGCTCTATTTGGTTAGCTTCTAATGGCTCAGAACAGGCCTTCAGAAACAGGCAAGCTATAATAAATACTGGATAGGTTTCAGGAGGCGGGAGACGACAGCAAGCCTGGTGTTGATGTGCATCTGGTTGTGTGTGTACGCTTGTGTGTAGCGGATGTATGGGCATTTTGATGCTTATTTCGACAGATAAATGTTCAGCCATGCAGAAAAGACTGGGACCTTTCAGTGAAGGGAAAGGTGGGAAAGAGACAGGGGGTACAGCACTGTGAAACAGTTCAGAAGCACTTGCTGGCTTACCAGTGAAGGGAGTATTTATAAGGTTTTGCATCATCTGCAGCTCTGCTGTTTCCCTGTTGGCAGGAAGCAGAGAATATTATCCAGAAGATCAGGCAGCAGCAGTATCCGGAGCTGCTGGCTTTTGACCAGCTTCTCATAGAGAGAAAGGACCAAAAGGTGTTTCTGCAGTTCGGTAAGATTCTGAGTTTGTTGGCGGCAGGTTCCTCTCCCATTTCCAGCAACTTTTTCTGCCAGACTTGATGTGGGGCGGGGTGTACAGAGCAGCAGCTGTCTTGCCTTGATGAGGGTTCTCAATGGGACAAACTGTAACAGAGCTATCCTTCTGTTTTAGAGGAAGAAGAGATTACTTTTGCTCCAACCTACCGTTTCGAAAGAGGTACCCGTGAGAAGTATGCCTACACCAAGCAAAAAGCTACAGGGGTAGGTGAAAATGGATTTTCCTTCAGAAGTATGTAGCAGAGCAGGGAAAGTAACTCCTGCAAAAGAAAGTGACCAAAACCGATCTGTCCATTTTCTGCCCTTGTAGTGTTTTGAAAGGAGTCAGTACAAACAGAAAGATTTGACACAAATGTATGGTGTTTGAGCAAGTAAATTTCCTGTTCTTTTGTGAAGTGGTCCTTTCCTTTCTTCTTGACATCACTTCTCCTTTGGTTTGCAGATGAAGTACAATTTGCCATCCTGGTGTGATCGAGTGCTCTGGAAATCATATCCCATGGTGCACGTTGTGTGTCAGTCCTATGGTGGGTAGATAACAGATTGTAGATAGCAAAGCAATCAGTCTGAAACGGAAATGATTCAGAGCAGAGTCTGTAGGATCTCCCTGCACTGCCAGGCACTCAGTGTAGAGGGACCTGATGTTAAATCAGGCAGAGTGGAGCCAAATCTCTCTGCCTGTAACCTTACAAGGTTGGGAATTAATTCTGTTATTCTTTTATATGCAGAGTACCACTCAGCTGCAGCTGTCCAGCTTTAGGCCACACCGTAGGATCACTTTACACCTCTTATTTCTTGGCAACAACCACCACTTTCCCTGTGCACTTACCACCAGGAACTCCTTCCTTGCTGGTGCCAGCAGGGCAGACCCTGTGTGCACAGTCCAGTCTGCAGAGGCTGGAGCGGCAAACATCTCTCTTCTATCAAATCCTATTCCAGAAGGACTGTGTGGTACCAAGAGCCTGTTCCCTTTCTTTCTGAGAAGTGTCACAAAAGTGCAGTGCAGGGAAGAGAGGAAACCCACAAGACCTGTTAAAAAAAAAAAAAGACTCAGATACTAATTCATGAAATTTCATTGGCTATACAGGACCAAGCATCTGAGTATAATGTTGATGGTTGTATGGGACTGAAGACTGTAGAAGTCTCTTGGGGGATAAGGCGGTCTGGTCACAGAGCCTATGGTGACGAGGTGTGTGGTCAAATGAGCACCTCTAGAAAGTCTGGCATCTGCCTTTACACACCGTTCTGTTCGATAGATGGGGCTTGCTAGAACTCAGTGTGCACTTAGGTCAAGTCAAGACCTTGCTCACTGACTGTTAATATTGAGCCATGAGTTGCTCCATAGCACTGAAGTAGCACCAGTGTATTCTTGTGTGATTTCCTGCTGTGTTAGAGCTTTAATTAGCTGTGCATGTTGCAGAGGCAACCAGGAATCCTGCAAATGCTTTTTGTACTGGGGGAATCTAACAGTGATAGTCGCTTGCAAAATGATGTGGTAAAGTTGTGTCCGTTAACCAAATCCTTATATATTTTGACAAAAGAGCTACGTTCCTATATACTAACATGAGATTATGTAGAAACACCTTTGACTAGAGACAGTTACCACAGCGACAGTTATGTTTTCTGGAAAATTACTGAGTAATATTTCTATCGCAGCGATCTCACTGTAGCAGGGCAGAAACGCAGGGCAGTAACTATCCTCCCTTTCTCGTTGGCAGGCTGCACCACTGACATCACGACAAGTGACCACAGTCCTGTCTTTGCCACCTTTGAAGTGGGAGTCACCTCACAGTTTGTTTCAAAGAATGGTTAGTCAGGCTGGGTGCAAGTGTGCCGTCTTCACCTTTGAATATAAAACACAGTGCTTTGTATATGTTGAAAGAAAAAGCTGGTTCTTAAAGAGTCCACTCAAAAATGCCCTCTCTTTATCTCCTACTGAAAATGCCATTATCTTCCCCTCCTCTTTCCTAGACTCCAAGTACACGGATTCCCAAGGGGAGATAGAGTTCCTGCACTGCTACGCTACTCTGAAGACCAAATCCCAGACCAAGTTCTACATTGAGTTCCACTCTAGCTGCTTAGAAAGTATGTTTGCCCATCTTTATTCTTTCTGTTAAAGTTTCCTGCTTGTTTGGATTAGTTCCTTCTTGCTTTGATGTAAACAAACAGCTGTGTAGATCACTTGTTCCAGTGCAAAAAAGGAATGTCCTAGAGATTTGTTGTGGTTTACAAGTCATCCTATACTGTCAGCAATACAGTCCAAAACCCACAGCCATTCAGCTGTAACCCATGCTTAGACGTGTAGCCTTCCACCACTTCTTCCATCTTTGGCAATCCGATCATCTCTTTCTTGAAGAGAAATGTGTGGTGTTCTTACTTATCACACAGAAAATCTCTACCTGGCAAACACTTGAGTGATTAACTCAAGTGCCTGCTATAAATGACCAGGTGCTTTCAAAACAAAGCACCTGCATTATGCTAATAAAAATAATTTAATTATCCTGGTTTGAAAAGATTAAGTCAGAGGATCAACTTAAAGTGAAAGGAAAGGTAGTGATCTGATTCTGTACATGGGACTGTGTACCTACCAGTGCTGCAGGGCTGAGTCTCAGCTGTTTATGTAATGTGAGCCTACATGCCCTTGCTGTGTTTTTTTTTAAGCGATTCCCCATCACAGGACTGCTCCCGTAAGTGGGACAGCATGCCTTCAGTGTATGCTTCATCACATTATCGCATGTCAGAGCGCTGTGTCAAAGACAGTTCCATAAAAGATTATTTTTTGGCTGTATCAAAATTTGCATAAATTTCTATGGAAACAGTGTATTACGAATCTTAAATTAGAATTTCAAAAGTGTGCTATCTTGAGTGGCGTAGGAAGAGCTGTCATGTTCTTATCCTCCAGTCCATGTATGCACTGAGCTTTACAGTGCCAAGTTTAACTGTAAAATAAAACCATTTAACAATGCTCCAGTAAAATCACTTGTAAGTTTACTGTGTAAACATTCACCCAAAGCTCAGACTTTAAGCTTCTTAATACTTTTAAAACTTGTCCCCAAGTGGGAAAATGATTGTGGGCCTTTTGGAGATCTAGCATCTGAAAAGCATTTGTAGCCAAGTTCTTGCTGTCTCTCTCATGTCTCCTTTCTCATCACTTTGCAGGTTTTGTAAAGAGCCAGGAAGGAGAAAATGAGGATGGGAATGAAGGGGAGCTTGTGGTCAAGTTCATTGATGCTCTTCCAAAGGTAAACTGGGACTATGTTTCCGTATCCATATGGAAGTGAAGCCTTCCATTTGCACCCCATAAGCAACATTACGTCTCTTGCTTATATAAACATTACTTTCAGGAACATGGTTATGGTCTTGTTTACACTCAAAAGGGACTGTAAGAATGCAGGATGGGCTTAAGCTAAACAGAGTATGTTACAGGCAGGAAAGGACTGTGTTGCCAGTATACTTTCATCTGTATCAGGAATTTTGCTGGCCTGATTATGTCACTCAGGAGAATGACTTTTTTCTCACCTTTTTAGTGAAAATAACTATGCTGACAAGTTTTTTAAGCAGGTTTTGTTGTTGTTGTTAGTTAGTTTTAGATGGAAGATAAAACAGCTGTGGTGGAGTTTCTTTCCCCTCTGAGACACAGTGGGGTTTTTTAATTGATATTTTTGAGAAAAGTTGACTAAGTATTTTTTACCTGTGTTAAAAAACCATCAATGGCCTGAAGTAGTGTTCTGCATGTCAGTGTCTAGACATGTTCTAGACAAGTACTACCCGTGAGATCCGAGCTGTTCTCCATTTCCTGGCATGGTGGGAGCTGGAAGAATTATCAGAGCTCTTGGATTTGGAGCAAATATGCATCTCGGTACCCTTCTGAACAGCCCAAAAGAAGAACTGCTGACTTTGGAGAGTGCCTTACACTGAGAGATGGGGGAAAGACTCTACAATAAGTGATTGTAACAATAGCCAAACAGATTTTTGCAAACAGACAGTAATCAGAGTCCAGATCACTTCCTCCTAGAGCAATTTTCAGTCTGCGCTGTAGGAAGAAAACGCAGCTCGGCCCAGTGTGAGTGTTTGATTTGTAGCATTCTGTCTGCTGTGCTGGGAGCAAGAATGGGGGGACTCTAAAAGTGCGTAGCCTTCTACCACAGATCTCCAAACATCATCAAAAAGGCTGATCTTAAGGCTGACAACATACCCTCATGGGTCTGTCCAGCTGAGTTTTGCTCATTTGAGGCTGAGGCACAGGGAGAAGCGTGTTCATGTAGACCACCTATTGTACTGACCCACATTAACTTGTCTTTGCAGCTGACTCCAATTATTTCAGACCCAGAATACCTACTGGATCAACACATTCTGATCAGCATTAAGTCATCAGACAGTGATGAATCTTATGGTAAGTGCTTAGCTCTAAAGTTCTGGATGAGTCAAAAATCTACTTAGATTTTTCCAAACCGCTGAAAGAGTGGGAGAGAACAGAAGTAACTTTTATAGACTGAACATCTATGATGCTCTGACTTCTGATTTAGAACTCAATGGATACAAAAATAAATTGTGGGCAATATTTTGTGAGGTAATGATTAGAGGAACACAAACTAGAAGCATCAATCTGTGTGAGCTTTACCAGCCCTAAAAGAGCAGCGACTTAAAAAGAAAGTACTTTACAGCAATTAAATCAGGAGTCAGTCTGTTTAAATGGGTTTATTCAGAACATACAAATCCTGTTTCACTTGCACTTACTTGATGCATTTCTCCTGACTACAGAAAAGTCATTGTTAGTGCTGCTTGCTTCCAAATTCTAGCCAGAGACTGCAGTCCTTGTCAACAGAAGGCCCTTTGCTGAAATCCCATTTACCTGAAATGGCAGTCACAGGCTCATGTTTTCCTTACCAGTAATGGAAGCACTGAACACTGTGGTCACCTGCGAGTGTCTCCAATGCCCAGATCCTTCACACGTCTGTGAAGAAGTGAAATGAATGCCCCTGATTTCTCAAGAGATATTACGCTCCGTACTGTGATCCAAAGCAGATTCTCTCCAATAATCTCAGCCCTGTTGGCATAGTGATAGTAGATGACTGACATGAGAAAGAAATGTCAATGTTTTTTTTCTCAGTCCCAGGCTCATTGTCTCCTTGTCACCCTCTAGGCGAAGGCTGCATTGCCCTGCGAATAGAAGCAACAGAATCCTTAGTTCCTATCCATACTGTGCTGACACACCATGGTGAGAAAACAGGGGTTTTCCAAGGTGAAATCAAGTTACAAACATCACAAGGAAAACAGAGAGAGAAACTGTATGGTAAGGAACGAGATCATCTCTGCAATGCTTGCTCTAGAGAATATCCATCTCAAAAGATTTCTGATAACTGTCAAGGAATTGAAAATTATCCTTGCAGTGCTTTTAGTCCCAAAGAGGCAAGAGCTTTTGAGGCTGACTGCAAGGAGATGTGAGTATCGTTAGTTCTCAGGAGTATACCTGTACTCTTTCAGAAAGACACAGCAATTCCATTTGGGTTTTTCTTTTTCATCATTCAAGTAAATTCGGCAGACTGAGAGAGCCCCCTGTCTGTCACTGATACTGATTTTATTGAATGGTGATACCTTATTTCCACTTGCAGTGGCTATATGACAAGGTGCCAAAGCTCTCCCTGCTCTAGTCACCCTGGGGAACATCTGCCAAGAGCATGTGAGACTCTCAAGGAGCAGTTCCTCAGCTAAAAGATCACAAACTTTGCTTATTTTCATCTTGCTACTTGTTCTCTTTCGGAGTACAAAACCAGCCTCACGACACTTACTATTACTATCAATGGTAAAGTGACCTGTATATAACTGTTAGGGGGATCATGACCTTTGTATTTCAAGATACACACTTTTTCCTATGCCAGCAAAATGTGATATGTATTAGTGGGCAGTTGAAAACATAATAGTATAATAGCCATTTAAAACGGTCTCACTGTCATTCTGATAGACAAAGAGAGATGCCTTAATACAAGCAGTAACACAGAAAACTTACGGAATCAGACTCTGAAGCTGCCAAAACACTTTTATGCTGTTTCTTTCCTTCAGATTTTGTCAAGATTGAACGAGATGAAATTGCTGGGCAGAAACCAAAGAACATCAGCAACTTAGAGCCTTGCAAAGACTGGGATCAGGCTAACAGGTAAAGGGCAAGTGGCTAAGTCAGTTACAGAAAACCATCTGGCTCAATAAACGCAAAGCTGGGCTCGCTGTGGAGCAGTATTAATAGCCACGGTGAGCAGTGGGAAGGTGCCTGTGGTGCTCTGGTCAGGGCTGGTCGATGCTTCTGTGCCCAAAGCTTCAAAAACTGAGAATGCATTAGTAAGAGTGGGTCCCTGCACTCCACTTAAAAAGGGCCCTTTTTTATTTCCAACAGAAAGTCAAAATCTACTCATCTGATGGCTAGAGAGGCAGCAGCCATTGCTCGCTATTGGGGGAGTGCTTCCTCTTCTCCAGACAACCCAGGAAAGGAGGATATGTTACGGTAATCTTGCTGCTTTACCTCTGTCAGCTTGGGGTGGGAAGCTACACTCAAACTGCCTCTTTTCCTTTCCAAGAGTCACAGGACACTCCTCAGTAAGGCTGTCCTTTCACTCCAGTTTCACAGGTACATTTCTTTGCAGGCAGCTTCCTGCTCTCTGCCTGCTAGTCTACAAGGGTATGCCTCAAAAGGCCAGACGTCTCTCCTGTTGTTCCAGCAGCATATTCTTATGCCGCACAGTGCTGCCCAGTGCTGCAATTTGCCTCTTGCTTGGAGGTGTCCTGCTGCAGCTGGCAGCTGAACTGCTGGACCCAGAGACCTGTAAAAGCCCCCACGTGTGGCTGCAGAAGCTGAGTGCTCTCTGCAGCCTGGAAATGGAAACGTATGCCACGGCCAGAGGAACTATTTGGGGCTGGGGGAGATGGCCTTGACCGAGCTGCTTCCTCTCCAGTGACCCAGGGCAGGGAGGCGCTAACAGGACTCCCACTTATTCTTTGATTCTGAAGCAGCAGTGATAAAAAAAGAAAAAAAAGTAGGTGGTATTGAATCTAAGCAGTCAGTGGGCACTAACTCCTTTGTAGCTGGCAGGGAGACAAAAAAATAAAAGTATTTGTGCATGTATCTTCCTAACAATGTTTCTTCTCTTCAGCAGCTCCACTCCCACAGACATCAGCAACCCCAACTACCTGGGGATGACTGCTTTCTCTCAGCCACCCTCTGCAACCAGCCAGCTTAAGCAGATACCTTCACCAGACCAGCCACCTTCTCTCTGGAGCTACGAGCAGCAGCCCAAAGAGACTACCTCCATAATGGGACAGAGTCAGTCATCCTCTACGTCACCCTCCTTGTCGCCTCTGTCTCCAAAACCATCCCTCCAGCCTACAGTGAACAGAAGTATCTGTAGTCGGAGTCAAGAGTATCTGTGAGTCTTTGAGTTTTGCAGTGGGGCTAGTGCCCTCTTTCGTCATTCTGCACCGTCACTATTTCATTATCTGTATGGAGAGTTCAAGGTGCAGCATTTTCTTTCAGTCTTTTATCTCCAGAGTTAGAAAAAGATAAGTGAAGGTCACAAGTGCAGACATCACATATTCAAAGAAAACTAGTGTAGTAGATTTTCAGACTTTTTGTGAAAGGAAAGCCAAAAATATATGTATAAGTTTAATTCTGTACTAAGAGAAGAGGACTACAGAATTGACTGTAGTAGCAAAGAAGAAAAGGGTCAAGTATGGCATAGAGCTTTCCACTGGATGGGAAGGAGAGCTCCTTCACATGTCATATGTGAAGTACTTTAGCTGAATTTCTGCTTTCACTACTACACACGTGCCCAGCTTGCTACAGAAGTTAGCATCAATGTGCTGCATCTATCCCAAGTCTTGCTGCAGAATTTCCATCCAGCAATTGAAAATACCCTGTCCCTACCCAACTTAGCGAAGTAATGAGGCTGCTGCACCCTAGTGCGCATACACAATCAGTGTCCTCATTCCAGACCTCTTTTTCATAGTGCCAGCTGCTTTCTGAGTCTGGGCTAGAGTTCACTGGTAAACGTATGTGGCACTCTATCAGCCAGAACTTGCAGAAGTCAGAGCTGCAAGCACCGCCTCATCTGTTACGTACCTGACAACGCTTCATCGTGCTCTCAGCTCTTTGTTCCTGCATGGACTGACTTCCAGAAAATAACTTGAAGCAAGGAACACAACTCATTTGAGGGCACCCAAAGAACACATGCCGCTCACCCCTGTTCCACTCTGTTCAGTGATATCGTGGCTGATCTTTTAAGTATTGTGGTGGTTCTCCAGATGAAAGTCTTACCACATCAGGTCGAGTCATACAAAAACCATGAAACCTCCCTTGTCCCATTGTACAGCTGTGCTGTCATTCCAGTCTGAGCCTCAATTCAAAGGGCTCGGCTGTGAACGCACATGATTGTCTCACCCTACAGTATACAGCTATTGCTTATATATTCAGCATTTGGGTGCATTAAGGAGTTTTATCCCTTCCCTAGGAATACCACGTGGCATTGGTAGCAAGAGGAGATTGACCTGGTTGTAAAATGCTACAGTGTGATGTAAGCTCTTATGTTAACTGTCCGGACAGCCATTTCAATCCTCTCTGCCAGATCTGAGGATTCTTATTAATATTTAAATTCAGATTTGTGCATGTCACAGAGCCATCAAAGCACTTGGCACAGTTTGGCTTATCTCTGCTTAAAGAGAAGCCAAGTGTCACTCCAACAAGACTGCAGTCCAGCAGGGAGTTTATAGACTACCACGCGTATCTGCTCTCAGCTGTCAAATTAATAATGATTAAGCAAAGTAAAAACAATACACAATTCTGTTCTCTCCCCTCAGGTTTAACTGTTATCCTGTTACCCCTTTGCACAGTCAGTTTAATTTTATCATGCTCATTTCCTATTAATTTTCTCTTTAAATCAGTCAGTGTCTCTTGCTTGCTCTTTACAAGTCTCCTTTTTACACTGCTTTGACCATAGGCCGCCTGAACTGGGGAAAACCACAGCAGAGCCTTTGCTTCAGGAGGAGGGACAGCAAAAGCCAGAGATGTTTGAGAACCCACTGTATGGCTCTATGAGCTCTAAGGGCAAAGTGGCATCAAAGAAAGAGCAGGACTACCCCAAGGCCTTGCGAAAAGAGCAGCCGCCCCTGCCTGATCAAAGCTTTCATCTCACAAAGTTGCAGGAGCCTGAGAGCAGCAAGGCCTCTGGGAAACAACCATCACCACCTTTCCTAGTCCCCACACAGAGATTTCGGTCCTATACCTGCTCTGGTCAATCTGAAGAAAAGAATACAGGTGAAAAGACTCAAGGCAAACCGAAGGTGATGACATCATTAGAAAACTCAGCACCACTCAAAAAACTAGTCAAGCCATCAAGGTCTGAAGTCAGCCCAAGCATCCAGGGACAGCATAACAAGCCGCCCCTTCCCTCGAAGAGCCGGGCAGTGCTGGACATGCAGAACTCCAAGGGCCGAGACTATCGGGACAGTTCAGAGCTGCCGCACTCCGCGAAGCATCGGACAGAAGAGGGACCGGTCGGCCGGACAACTACCCCGGTGTGTTACTTGTGGGAGTAAGGCAGGGTGGAAGCTTTTTTAGACCTTGGTGTCACAGTAGAATGCTACTAGAGTAGTACTGTGCCCTCGCTCTGTATTTCCTAACCAAGCTCAGAGCACTGTCCCACAAACCTACAGGGCTGGCTGAGCAGGGCACGCAAGGGAGTATCTTAAAGCAGTATGTCATGTTGTGAAACCATGGCCTTAGTTTTCCATGTTTTAACTTCTGGACTGTTCAGGCTTGATGGCCAGAAGAGGAATGCAAATAGTCAGCTACTTTGTTATTGCTTATTTGGTGCATACTGCATTGTTTCAGAGAAAGTCCAAACTTGGCCCGAGAGCACAAATTTACAGTATCGGCTAATAGATTTGCTTTGCTGTAATTAATAAAAAGATGATTAAAAGTAGTTATCTATGGGAAACACTAGCTTAGAACAGTGGCATCCAAAACCAGTACTGAACCCTCTACAGAAATAATCACACATCTACTTTTCTGGGCTGGTGGGTTTTTTCTTGTGGGTTTTTTTTCCCAGAATGCCATGAGCTGGATGAGGAGGAGTATGGGAGGTCTTAGTAGGTGGGTTTGGGAGAAAAAGAGAGCCCACTTGAGCAAGCTGTAGGATTTTTTATTCCCTTCTCCATCAAAACTTTTAGAGTCGGCAATAGACAAGCTGATGTCTTCTCTTGTCTCCACAGTGAAAATGACATGGCAGATGGCACCCTAGGAGGAATCCTGATGGGAAGAAAGATGGAGATTACTGCTTTGTTCACACTGATGTCCTCTGGTCTGGTTCTAAAAAGACTGGGGATTTTTATTTTTGAGGGTGTATCCCTCACTATGATTATCAAAGTGTTCTAGCTGAGAAGTTTATCCTATGCGGCTCAGACAAAGAGGAGCCAGGACCACAATGCCAAATGCAAGTTAGCCCTTTGTAGTGTCACTTTGGTACTTCTATTAAGAGGCAGGTGGTTAAGTACACGCATTAGTAAATGCTTTGAAAAAGAGGAAGGTACGGTATAAGGACTAGGAGATGGAAGGGGTGTATTTAAAGAACCCTCATTCTACAAAAGCAAACTTTATTTTGTGTTACAGAATTCCTATTAAAGAGTGATATGTAAAAGAAAGCATTTTGAAAGCGGTACAGCTCCAAAAGCGTGTCCTATCCACGGAGCAAGGAGTTAGGGGAGGGTGGTGGGAAAAGAGTTTGAATAGCAGATACTGATGAATGTCACACACTGTCAAGGGAGTCAGCTTTGCCTCTAGTGTGAGCTCCCAGGCTGCACACATGCGTTATTCATGCAGAGTGTAAGGGCTGGCCCTTGGCACTGTGGCTCTTTTTTTTTTTTTTTTCCTAGCAGGTAGTGCTTTTGTACCCCTAACAAACAGAGGGAAACACCAGAACTACGTGCAGAAATGGGAGAACAGGCAGGGTCCGTAGGCAGCCCAGGAGTATAGCTGCCTGAAGGGACAGACAGCAGTCATTCCAGCCTGTCTTACATCAAGGACTCTGCTTTTGAAGGACACTGGCCAGCTGGTTTTGTAGCATTCTTAATAGATTAATGCTGACTTTACTGTACACTTTTGTTTATTGACTGAGAATTAATAATGTTAACATACTTGTAATTTCTGTTATATTCATGTTAAGTATTAATGCCATGGTTTATGGCATTAGGCTATGCCTGTTTGTGACTTAATAGTTGCTATTGTTTCCATGTTGATTACCTAAAAATAATAAAATAGTCACCTTTCTGAACATTCTTTACTGAAAATTCAGAACCGCCTGCCACATGATCCAGCTTTAGTTGGGTGTTACACCAGCTCGCTCAGTGGCAGTAGACCCTGCCCAGAAGAAACACCGAAGGCACCGAGGAGTGCAAGGAAGATACAACAATGCCGCCGTGATACTGCGACTGCGGACACATTTGTCTGTGTGCACAGACCCTCCATGAATACAGCTGGTTTAAAAATTCTAGCACCTGTTAGCAGGTACAGTTACTAATGGTATGAGGATAGAAAATGTACAGTAATTTTACCACGGCTGAAAAGGCCAAGCACAGACTTGTGAGAATGGGTGGAAGAGGACAATCTTCCTATAAGTAAGGTAGAAATCTTTCAAAAAGAGATTTTTCTGCTGTGCAGGTTGGAGTTTCAAGGTATCATTACTGAAACACCTGGATCTCTAACCTACAACTCAGCAAGACAGGCCATGAGCATACACTCCTCTTGCTTTATTCAACAGAATCCTCTCTGTGTAATCCCCCATAATTCAATAGCTGTGGTATTTCCCTGGCCCTGGGGAGCGTTTCACTTTTCTATTCCAGATTGCAGAACAACTCATACAGCCACAGAGTAAAACCTTCCTGGAGCAGGTGAGCTTTCTGTCCAATATGAAGAGTTAGATCAGTTCCTACTAATTCTGTGGTGTGTTCTTGTACGTTCAGAGATGGAAATGTGACAGGATTTCTACGAGAAGTTTTTAACTTCTCAACAATGAGACAGGCTCAGTTTTTCTGTGTTTATCCACTGACTTCCTAAGCTGTAGAAAAGAAAGTATATTCCCCAAAGTCTGCAAAATAAAAGCTTGATATAAAGCAAGGATAGTTTCTTGCAAAAATATTCTCCTAATTGGGAATACTGCCTAAATTTGGCACAGATTTGCAAATGAGCAGAGTTTGAGAACACCGGACTCATTAAGGTGCATAATATAACATCCAGGTACTAGATTTGGCCTGTCCTTTAGAAAGGCGTATTGCTGGGGAAGAAGAGAAGCTCTCTGCCAAGTTTCCAGCAGAAAAAATGCATTACTATTCCCATGCTAAAATGTGTTACTTACCCAGCTTTACCACATTTTTCTGTTATCCTTGTGATAGTACAATTAAATTAGTCCATGTGATCAAAGGGATGTAATGTCCAAAAATTTATTGATTTCCCCCCCCCAATCTCCTAATTTTTATAACATTTTGAGGGCTCAGGTATTTGTGTATGATTGAACTGTGGGTGTCAGGACTAGCTAACTCACCAAGGTGACCCAGGGCAATTACCAGAGATCTCCTAACCCATGGCCCCAGATGGCAACAGATCAGCTGGAAATGCACAATATCCAAATATTTAATTTTTTTAAATTTCCCTAATCTCTGAGAGAAATCCACACTTTCCCCTCTAGGACATTTGTTAAAGAGACTCCATCCCTACCCTTACTTGTTGTATCCCTTGATGATAACATAAATCAGAAGTGCAGCAGGTGGACTGCGCATTAGGGAAGTTTAGGTGATGGCGAAGGCTTCTCTTGATATGCAGGAACAATTGACAGTTTGGTGCCATAATACATCTCAGCTGCATCTGTGTGATGCTTGTTTGGTTGAGGCTGAAGTATTTAATGAAGGAGTCAATGACTTTCCCTATTTCCTGTGCACAGCTGAAGCAAGAGCCGAGTACAGCTGGAACTGTCTCACATCTGCTACCTAAGAGTCGCCAG